GCAGACGTTGGCGCAGTGTTTCTGCTCCTCCTTACGAAGCTGGAAGCTGCCAAGACCCAGGAGTCTCTGGGCAGCCCCGTGGTGAGTCCAGTCCTGCGCCGGGTGGTGGGACACATCTACATCTTTGCTGCAGCACACGTTGTGGAGAGGCCCTGGACAAATGCGAGGTCTCAGGCGGTGGCACTGGAGCTGCTGGCGTTGCTGGTTCAGGCCGCAGGCTGCGGGTCGGTGGCCGAATTCCTTCGGGGAAGGAGCGAAGATGAGGAAGGAAGATTTGCAGCAGTGATGGGGCTCCTGAAACAGGAGTTAACCAAGTGAGTAGGAAGGGGAGGAACAATGGGGAGGGTGGTGCGTTTGGCTGGTGTCTGTGTAGGAAATACTGGAAACTTTGGGGAAACTGTGAACCTGGGCATTACAAAACTTAATTAAGATAAATTAAGCTAAGAGCTCTACGAGTAGCCCAGTAATGGAAGGGAAGGGTGGAAATCAGTCAGAGCTTATTATCAGTTATGTAGAAAATGACTGCTCGTTAGTTCTGGTGCTCACTGAGTTTATGTTGGTATTTCCAGAGACACGTGGAAGCGCAACCCTGCCACAAAGTTCGTGTTCTCCTGGACGCTGCCTCACGTCACCCGGCCCTGGCTTGGCCGTTACCTGGAGCGCGTCCTCCCGCCATCGCTGCTCATCTCGGACGACTACCGGGAGGAGAATAAGATCCTGGGTGTGCGCTGCCTGCACCACATCGTTCTCAACGTGGTAAGGGGTTTGAGAAGCTTGATCCCTTTCCGGGTGGTGGTTGAAGGACGGGTGGATTCCTGACTTCTGGTTCTGCTGTTAACCTCACAATCCTGCTCTATCCTCCATACTGTGCCTGTGTGTTTAAATGTGCGTAGTTCTTACATCTGCTCACGCTAAGCAAAGAGTTGCTTTGCCACCTTTTGGGCTCAGCTGGTTCAGGTGTCAGCCTGACAACAGTTTGCAGGGCAGGGTATTAAAGTGAGGCCAGTGGAACTGCAAAGGAGCAGCTGGGGAAGTGAAGAAATGAGAGTGGCCCTGTGCATGGCAGGGTTTAATCTGTGTTTATTACAGCACCTGCTCCTGCTTTCTTTTAAGCAGTGTTCCTAACACACAGTGTGTGCGAGGGTTGTTTCTTATAAGACCTGAATTTGTGAAGACTGTTTGCTTTTATTAAATTAAGTGGGTGCTGAATGTGATGTTCTGTTCAATAATGCTCTGTTCCCTGTTGGCACAGCCAGCTGCTGATCTGTGCCAGTTCAACAGGGCTCAGGTTGTGTACCATGCCCTCTACAACCACCTCTACTCACGAGAAGCCCCTCTCATCCAGGTAGGACAGCAGAACTTCATCTTAATCTGCCTTGTGGTTTTATTTCATTTCAGCCCCGTGAGGGACAGCCAGCTTAGGGCATGACGAGGCAGAACGTGTTCCCTTACTGACAGTCCAGTCAGGCTGTTACTAGCCAACTTGTGGCCAAGGGACAAAGTAAATAAGTAGATTTCAGGAAAATCTCAAAGTAGAGGGAAGATCTCTTGCCTCTTGTCCCCTTCCAAGCAGCAGCTTTGCTGAAAAGGGCCAGTAATGGGTAGTAGAAGAAGTGGGGTCTGTCTGGTGAGCTGCAGCAGCTGGGGGTGGTCAGTGGGGTAGGAAGTGACTGCTGTTTTGGATAGAGCACCAGCAGGACTGCCCAGATTTCCTGTCTCACTGAACCAGGCGGTGCTGCTGTGCCTGCTGGACCTGCTGCCCGTCCTGGAGAGAGCCCAGCGGCAGCAGAAGCAGAGCAGACCAACCGCCCCCTGCGATGAGGTGCTGCAGCTGGTTCTGACACACATGGAGGCAGAGCATCGCCTCGCGCTGCGGCGCGTGTACGCCAGGGCCCTGCCTGCCTTTGTGCAGAGGTGAGAGCAGAACCACAGCCCTGCCGGGACCTGCTTTGCCCTTGGCCTCTGTCTCTCAGTGCGTGTTTCTTCGTGTCCGCAGACTTGGCATCCTGATAGTGCGGCACCTGAAGAGGCTGGAGCGAGTTATCCTGGGTTATCTGGAAGTCTGTGACGGCCCTGAGGAAGAAGCTCGACTGGGAATACTGGAGACACTGCAGTGCACCATAGAGCACGCTTGGCCCAGGTACTGGTCTGGGGGTGAGATTCACTACAGACAGCATGTCCTGAACGCTGTCCTGCTTTCAGAGCCGAAGTTACTGTTGCTTGAGGACAAAACCCTGAAATCTTAAGGGAGAATCTGTCACAGGGGGGAATCGGTGGCGTTACTGCTTTGCTGAGAAACCTGCCCCAGAAAATTAATCTGTCCTCATTTTGGTCTGACTTCTGCCTGCTCTAGAAGCATCAGCTTGGCTAAAAACTAAACCTGTGGCTGTATTTTCCTCTGGCTTGCAAAGAGGATTTAGAGTAAGGCACGCTTGCTGTTTCCCGTTGCAGGATGCCGTGCAGGCTCCCCGTGCTCCTCAAAGCGCTGCTGAAGATGATCTGGGACGTGCACACTGACCAGGGCTCGACACCAGAGCCAGTAAAAGCCGCCTTGCTCCAGGGAGCCACCGAGTGCCTCATCCTGCTGGATCGCTGCTCTGCAGGGCAAGTGAAGGTGAGCTGGGGACCCAGTGCTGCTTCATCTCTGATCCCTTCCCCTGAGAAGGGGCAGAATCACAGAATATCAGGAGTTGGAAGGGACCTGGAAAGCTCCCCCAGTCCAAGCCCTGCCAAAGCAGGATCACCAGAGCAGTCACACAGGAACACGGCCAGGCAGGTTTTGAATGCCTCCGGAGAAAGAGACTCCACAACCTCTCTGGGCAGCCTGGGCCATGCTCTGCCACCCTCACCCTGACAAAGTTTGTCCTCATCTTCAGCTTGAACCTCCTGTGCTCCAGCTTGGGACCCATTGCCCCTTGTCCTGGCATTGGACATCCCAGAGCAGAGCCTGGCTCCTTCCTCCTGACACTGCCCTTTCCAAATGGATCCCCATGAATGAGGGCACCCCTCAGTCTCCTCTGCTTCAAGCTCAAGAGCCCCAGCTCCCTCAGCTGCTCCTCAGCAGGAGATGCTCCACTCAGCGTGGTGCACACACAAGCCCACTCACTTCCTTAAAAGCATCAATTTCCACCCACCCCAACGTTGGTACTTGACTGGATTGATAAGTGATTCAATACATACTGATCTGTATATGCTTTGTGTAATTCTCTTCCAACAGACAGCTGGCTGGTAACACCATGAACCTGAGCATGCCAAGGCACTGGGAACTGATGCTGTTCTTGTTTCAGGTCCTGCTGCAAGGTGTGTACAGCAGCTGCGAGGAGAACCGCGTCCGCGAATGCATCAGGAAAGTGCAAGAGAACACGTGAGGCACGGCTGACCAATGCTCACCCCGCTTTTTGTACAGTAAAATATCTTTATTTAGATCTAAAGTTACTGTCCTTCTCATCCTGTTAGCCCCATTCCTCCCCAAACACGACACACGTGTGATCTCCACACCACGTGTGGGCTTCTCCAGCTTTAGACCAAAGCAGCAGCGCCCCCCAGTCCAGGTCCCTTCCTTGAACAAAGTCCAAGCTGAGCCTTGTGCGGTTGTAGAGAAGCTGGGGAGTTTTCTGAACTGTGCTTCCTGCAGGAGTTGTACACACTCGCTGCAGCTGCCTGGGGTCAGGACAGAAACCCTTCTTTTCTTCAAGAAAGTTATTAGTCTGGAGCATGGAAAAAAGGAGTAATTCTTGAGGGTCCCGCGCAGAGCGGTGCAGGCTGGAGGGAGTTCTGGTGACAAACCTGGAGCGCTGTCATTTGGTACAGAACACGGGGTCGGGAAGGAGTCAGGCTGCTTTTGTTTTGGCGGCTGGCTCTGTCTCTTCTTCGTACTCTATTTCAATGTAGGGACGTTTTCTTCTGGCGGGTCCTTTCAGGGGAGTTTTCCCCTTAGATTTGGAGCGAGAGACTTTCTTCTCTACTTCCTCCTCCTCTTCCTGCTCCTCCTCACTACTGGTCTCCAACTTATCCATGTCCTGAGAAAGACGAGAGTGACATCAAAGCACACTGTGCAACTAAACCTCCTCTTTCTGCAAAATCATCTCCTGTATCCAGTTCCAGGCTATAACTCCTGGCTCCCAGCTGTCTGTAGCAGATAGGGCACGCTCTGACTGTATCATTGTGTTCCACAAATCTGATTTTGCTGACTCTTATCCCGTCACCAGCAACACACAGAGGGCAGAGGTTACTTTGAAATGGACAGTTTATACCCAAGGCTTCACCTACCTCAAAATCACTGAGGTCGCTGTCATCTGCTTCCACAAACTCTCTTTTATTCATGTCCTGTAAGAAGTCAAAGTCAGAGGTGAGTATGTGCACGCTGAGTACAACACAGGCTCACAACGAAGAGCCATCAAAGCCACCATTTGCACACACACACACTGCTGAGTTCACCTCTCCTAATTTCTTCTTCTCACCCCAACATTTAAGCTACAATGCCCAGCGTGCAGGTGAACCGGAGCTGCACCAGGATTAACTGTGGTGCCGTGGCTGAAAGCGTTACCTCCTCCTCATCTTCTTCCTTCTCTGCGTCCGACTCGCTCTCGCTTTCTGCATCTTGCTGTTCTAGGGCTTTGTCAAAGGCGTGAATGGGGAAGTTGTAAATGTCTCCGTACTGAAAAGGAAAATGGGGATTTTCTGTAAGTCAGGGGAGTGGTGGGGTCCTCTGAAGCCCCTGGTCTGCATGGAGGCAGCACCGAATGAGGCTGAACTTGTAGCTCAGCCCCAACCCTAACTCAAGTACTCGCTGCTGTGCAGGGAGTGAGGGGCTCTGCGTTTTGGGGACCCACTCAAGGGCAATGTGTCATCCCCTACCCCTCCTATGCAGGCAATGCTGCTCTTTTGTACCAACACCCACGTCCCCACCCTGGAGAAGCAGCAGGGCAGGGGCAGCAGGAGCAGTTTCACCACCAAGCTGGAAGGCAGTGATCCTTACTGTGTCCTGTTTCAGTCTTTCCAGTAACTCCTTCTCAATGGCGTTATCCAGCTGAGCGGCGATCAGGGCTTTCTCCTGATGGGGCAAAGAGGAGCCATGTCAGTTGTGTGAAAGATGTGGAACAGGAGACAGGACATGGAGAAGATGTGAAGAAGCAGCCTTACCTCTCTCCTCTTCTCTCGCCTTTCAATCTTCCTGCGTAAAGGAACGAGCTTCCTCCTGCAGGGAACAAGAAGTCGATCCATCAGCCTCTTGTGTAGCTGATGAGCAAATGCAGGGCAACAACAAGCAGTTGCATCATGACAAATGTGGCTGCAAGTAGCTTAATTGCATTTACATACACCACAGTTAAATCCGTTTCAGCCAGGTTCATTTAAACGCCTGCCAAAGCCTCAGGAACACAGCAGCGTGTCCTGGAGTGACAGGGGCTCAAGGGACAGATGATGGCTCTAAGCCAAACCAACACCATCGCTCTTCCTCGTGTCACTCACTGTCGCTTGAGCGTCAGCTTCCGGATGCGGATGAGGTACTGCGTGATCTTGGTGAAGCGCTGCTTGCACTTGTGCCGGATGAACCGTGGCCAGTAGATGAGGTTCTCGTCTATCTCTTCCAGCGCCTTCTCGTAGTTCTTGCTTAGCAGGACCTGGAAGGGGAAAGGGTTGAGCTATGGAGCAGCAACATATGGAGCTATGGAGCTCCCTGCGCTCCAGTGATGTTCCAGCACCCTCAATTAGTGACTGCTCTCATTAACTCACCCGCTCCCAGAGCCGACGGGGAAACGGCGCCCGCTCTATCGTCTTCATGTACAGGTAACAGCGACCTAAAGGAAAGAGGAATGCAGTGCCAGGAGGGAGACTGAGCCCCTCTCAGTGGTGCTTGGAGAGAGGGGCCCTCGGGCAGGCGGTGTTCACCCCCTCCCCACAGGGGCTGTTCAGTGCAGCAGCCAGGCCCTCACCTTTCTCCTCCCTGATGGTCGCGTACTGGCTGTTGGCCAGGGGGCAGGAGGAGCGGTTGCACAGCCCAGTGATGTTGTACTCATTGCGGCAGAAATTTTGAGTTTTTGTCCTGGAAAGAAGAGAGGGGAGATAGAAAAGGGGGGAGGTTGAAGAGGGGAGATCGAAAAGGGGGGAGGTTGAAGACGGGAGATCGAAGAGGGGAGGAAACGGGAGTACC